ACTGTAACAAAAATATTAGATGTGACTGTTTTTTAGAGCTTTTTACTATTGTAAAACTCGAATTCTAAACTCGAATCGGTAAAATTGAATGATGTCTTAATGTTTAATTGACTTTTCATAAACAACTAGTACTTTCATACTTCACCTTCTAAATAAAAGGAGATTCTTTGGTACGCTTGTATGGTTTTTCTAATAATTAGATCTCCGTATTTTTTTATTTTTACGTGATTTTATATAAATCTAACGGACAAAAAACTTGATCTATCAGTATATTAACGTACCGGAGAAAGTATTTAAATAAATTAACACCACAAGATGTTTCTCCTTTTCCTTTAAATATCATAATACCATAGAGTTGAATAATTCATCTTTGATCATTACAGTTACACGGTACACATGAATAATGTTAATCTTTATGAAAATCTGGCTAAATTGGTTTTTGAAAAAATTTAAAAACAAACTGGGTGAATTGTCGATAAGTTTGTCCTTTTCTTCAATTTTGTTCTTCCGTGTTGTTTCGGTCCAAACTGAATTAAGAATAGTAGAAATTAACTACAAAAATGACCCCATCAAATTTAGGCACCTAATTAGGAAGAGGAGGTGCCAAATTTGCATTCAAATTCTCTAGTCACAATAGCAATAATTGGACAAAGGATTTACCTTAACAAAAATGCATATTTCCAACTCAAACCTCTCTTTCATATTCACCCTAAAAAAAGGGTCGAAATATTTAGTTAGAAAAAAAAAAATCAAAGGGCAGTTTAAACCATTAGAATAGATTCTAATAATAAATTTTCAGGCAGTATTATCTAGACGTTGATTGGATTTAGCATGTAAAAAGAACACATAATGAGAGTCCTAACACGGTAAAAAATAATGCGTTATCACAAAGGTTCTTAAATAAATTTTTTTTTTAAAGGAGACGAAATTCAATGGCAGGTTATGGAAAAAAAAAAATATACAATTAACATTTCATAGTTCTTAACGTGCATTAAAAAAAATCGCACCCCCTAAATCACATAAAATATTCTATCACATTAAGAGAAATCAGTAAAAACTTAAGAACTTAGAATTATCTTTCATCAATATATATTTTTTTTTTGCTCTTATTTGATTGTTTCTTTTTCAAAAGGGAATGTCCTAAAAAGGGACACTTCTATAGTAGGTATTGAAAAAAATGAACTTATGATACTTCTCTGTTTTTAAATGTCAAATCTTAATAAGAAATTATTTAATTTTGTATATCTTAAACTTGTTTGAATTGGTTAAAAAAAAAACAGAGAAATTATCTGATATGCTTGATGTATCGATAGATCATGTTTTTATAATAGTTTGATATGCGTACTTTTTGATTTTTATGTGATTTTATACATATTCAACAAATAAAAAACTTAACATACCAGTATGTTAGCGTACCAGAGAAGATCTTTAAAAAAAATGCTTTTAACTTATTTAGTTTAAAAGTAGCTTTTGAGCCTATTTGGAAGATGGACACCTTAAAATACTTTTTAGCTTTTATAAAATTGTTTTTTTTTTTTTTTTTGGAACAAATCTCTTTTAGTGCATATGAAAAAACAGAAAAAAAAAAATAACGTATAAAAAGCTTTTTTATTTATATTTTTAACTTTCTATTTGTGAAAAAAATTAAAAATTCTATCCACATCCTTATATCATTTTATTTTTTGTAACAACAAGTACTTTTGATTAATTTACTCAAACAAGTTCAAAAATTATTATTAAAAAAACTTTAATTTATACTTATTTTTTTTCACTACTTAAAAAATAAAGGTAAATTTTATGGTAGAACCCTATTTTTATTCCATGCCTTACTTTTTAACAGATTTGTATAAATTTATATTAAAAATTTATAAAGCACAACAAATAACTGTTCTTACTTCATATCCGAATAAATTAACTAACGGTGAGTAGGGTTTCACTAGTATTTTTTTTTTTTTTTGGGGTTCCACCATAGAGATTGTTAAAAAAAAAAGAAAGTACAAGTTCTCACACATATCCTTTTCCTATTCCAAATGATTTCAACCGTATCCATTCTCTGGGATCTCTTAAATGACATATAAGGAAAATAAAGGCCCGTTTAACATTTTTAAATTTATTTTATTTTCAAATTATTCTTACTATTTTTTATTTTTATTTTTATTTTTTAAAATTATATTAAATAAATATAATTTAAAAACTGTTTTCATTTTCGTATTTTAAAATGTGTGTAAAAACATCTTTAAAAACAAACAAAAAATCAATTCGAAACGGAACTAAGGAATCTCTTTTTTCATTTTCATTTTCTCCCTTTTAATAAGGAAAATAAATGACATGAAATGTCAAACCTTGACAAAGTCAAAACAAAACAAATGCCCTCGTAACACTCTCTCTCTCTTCACTCTTTCTCTCTCTCTTCCCTCTTTACTGCAATAATATATCATCTTCTCTCCACACAACTCAAGCGGGACAGGACAAGACACAAACCAGTTCAATAAAACGTGGAAGAAAAGAAGCAAAATCCAACAAAACATAAGAGACTTACCCAGTCCCCATATACTCCAGCCTCCACAGATTCCCAAGATGACAAACGACACAAATCCCACCCGAGTCGACCCGAAATCCGGTTTCGATCCGCAAACAAAGACCTTCCGCAGCCTCCTTCCTCCCGTTCCCCTCCCGCCGCAGTCGCAGCCCCTCTCCCTCGCCCACTTCGCCCTCTCCCTCCTCCGCTCCTCCGCCGCCGCCGACGACCCATCCTTCCTCTCCTCCACATCCGTCCTCATCGACAGCTCCACCGGCCGCCGCGTGTCCTACTCTCTTTTTCTCCGCCAAATCCGCTCCCTCTCCCTCTCTCTCCTTCGCTCTCTTTCTATCTCTAAACACCACTCCACCACCGCCTTCCTCCTCTGCCCCACCTCCCTCCACGTCCCCGTCCTCCATTTCTCCCTCCTCTCCCTCGGCGTAACCGTCGCTCCGGCCAATCCCCTCGGGTCGGACTCCGAAATCGCCCATCAGATCCGAATAACCCGTCCCGAGTTCGCGTTCGCCACGTCAGCAACCGCCGGGAAGCTCCCGCCGAGTCTGAAAACCATCCTCATTGACTCTCCGGAGTTTCTGTCGATGCTCGACAACGACGAAGTGGTCAATGACGACGTTTCGTGGCCGGAGGTGCGCCAATCCGACGTGGCAGCGATTCTTTTTTCCTCCGGCACGACGGGGAGGGGGAAGGGCGGGGCGCTGACCCACCGGAACTTGATCGCGACGATCGGCGGCTACCACGCGCTGCGACTGAAGTCGGCTAAGCCGGAGCCACAGCCGGTGAGGCTGGTGATACTGCCGCCGTTCCACGTGTTCGGGTTTTTCATGGCGGTGAGGGCGGTATCGATCGGGGAGACGATGGTGCTGATGGAGAGGTTCGATTTCGAGGGGATGTTGAGAGCGGTGGAGAGGTACAGGGTGACGTACATGCCGGTGTCTCCGCCGCTCGTGGTGGCACTCACCAAGTCCGAGGTTGTCGGGAAGTACGACCTCAGCTCGCTCTGGCTGCTCGGCTGCGGCGGCGCGCCGCTTGGGAAGGAGGTGGTAGAGAGGTTCAATCGTAAATTTCCGAATGTCGAGATTACGCAGGTGAGACGTGTAATTCATATACTGTTTCTGGTGGGTTATTTTTATTTTTTCCTGAATTAAATAATAGAGTTTGTGTTATTATTGTTGGTCTCTTGTGGTCCACTGCTTTTGGTCTTAGATTTCTTTATTTAAGTATTTTTTTTAACGGTCCCTTGATTTCACTAATTTAAAATTTATTATAATAAAAAATTTTTACAAAAAAATAAATTAACTTAAATTAAAAAATTAAATCAGGGAACTATATTGATTAAAAATTTCCGGTCTTCTGAACTTGGCATTTAAAAAAAAAATCATTTATGCTACCTGAGTCTCATTTTAATTAGTACTTTAAAATGTCTCACCTTTAATCCTTAATCTATTAGGACTCATTTGGTAAATAGATTTATAATCATGATTCTAGATCCTATTTTAAAATTAGAGTGTTTGTTTACAGTGATTCTGAATCATGATTCTGAATTATAATTCAGAATCATGATGTGATGTTTTAAACTAGAATTACTCATTATTCTAAAACTCCTCATTCTCTAAATCATAGTTTCAGAATCATAATTTGAATATAAAATCATGAATCATAATTCAAAATACAGAATCATAATTAAAATCACTCTGACTTGAATTCTCGTACCAAATATTTTATTTTAAATTCGATCCTTTCATCAGGTAAGTATTAAATATATGAGAACATAGACTAATATAAATCGATTCGTAAAAAGAATAAAAGTTAATTTTCACGACTATAAGTGGCGTGCAGTCCTAGCATTGCTCTTATTATTATGGACAGTAGTAGAAACCGCAACTAATCTCGGACCGTTACACATGGCATGGCAGGGATATGGGCTGACAGAGACGGCGGGAGTAGGGAGCAAGATGGTGGAGGAGTGGGAGACGCAGAGGATTGGTTCGGTGGGTAAATTAGCTGAGAACATGGAGGCTAAGATTGTTGATCCTGCTACTGGTGAAGCATTGCCTCCTGGTCATCAAGGGGAGCTCTGGCTGCGAGGCCCAGCAGTCACGAAAGGTTTTTTTTTTTTTTTTTTTTTTTTTTGGGACTGAAATGAAAGGTGTTGAATGTGTTATATATCCTAGTGGCATTAGTTTCTTGTCCTGTTGATCTGTGTATTCTTCTCTGGCAACGGACATATATTACTCTTTAGAGACAAAAACGAGATTTTAGTTAAAGAGTATAGAGACCAACCAAATTATAGAAAATGACTTGTTATGTAACACATACTAAACGGACTTTGAACATGTAACAAAGGCCAATGGCAGTATTTCTCTACTGATGGCCCCTTTTTTGCTAAGGGATTTCTTTTTTTGGCTTAAATGGTGTCATTGAAGCAGGTTATGTTGGCGATGAAAAGGCAACGGCCGAGACCTTTGACCCCGAGGGATGGCTAAAGACCGGCGATCTTTGTCTATTTGACTCCGAGGGGTTTCTCTACATTCTCGACAGATTAAAAGAACTGATCAAATACAAGGCGTATCAGGTGATTCAAAAAATGAGGACCTTTTTCCTGTCTTGTTCTTTGTCCATCCAATTGGTTTAGTTTCTTAGACGTTAGGTAAACGATAATAACTATCACACGTGTATTTATTCGCGCCACTTTACAGCTTTTTAAAATTCCAGCAATTAAATTATGTCTCAAAATCTGATTCATAAAAGAGAGAGCACAACAGAAGAATTAGACAAAGGATTCTAGTTTAGTCCTAATATAGTCTTTTTTTTTTATGTCAAAAATAAATTGTAGGTTCCACCTGCTGAATTGGAACATTTACTCCAGTCTCACCCTGATATTGCTGATGCTGCTGTAATTCCGTAAGTAATTTTCTTGTATTTTAATTCTCGAACTTGTGAAAACGCTAGTGATTGATCATTTGTTTGCGGCATTTTGGCAAATCTAAAGGATTTCTGCTCCAAAATTCCTCTCTCTGTGGCTAAGCAGGTACCCGGATGAAGACGCAGGCCAGATACCCATGGCCTATGTAGTAAGAAAGCCTGGAAGCAATATCAATGAAGTTCAAGTTATGGATTTTGTAGCGAAAAAGGCATGTTTCCTTCTTCCTTCGAGATGGAGCTAAAAATGCAGTAAATTTTTTTGCTGTAGACTTAAATCCGTGTGTTTGGTTAGTGTATTCATGCCATGATTTGAATCATGGTTCGTGATTCGTTACAGTATTTTTTCTCATAAAAAACACACATAAATCAAAAATAATTTTAAATCATGATTCTGAATTTATGAACCAAACGTCCACGATATCCTATACAAAGTGGCGTTGTACTATTGAAGCGTGACATTTTTTATTAACATTTACACTAGACATGAGGTACTTTTTTCTTGCAGGTTTCTCCTTACAAGAAGGTAAGGCGAGTAGCGTTTATCAACTCCATTCCGAAAACTCCGGCGGGGAAGATCTTGAGGAGGGAGCTGATCAGTCATTCTTTGTCTAGTGGTACGGCTAAGTTATGATCAATTTTTTGTTCAGAAGTTAAGGGTAACGTTGTTAAGAATTGCCTGGGAAGCACTTGTCGGAAAATTACTTATCAGAGTTTCACCAAAATCTTATGGCAAGTTTCCAAAGAAGATCATCCTTGTAATGTATCTATGTCATTATTTTTTGTATACG